TAATAAAAATGCTGATTTAATTATTTTTTTTAAAAAAATCACCAACATTAAATAATTTCTTTAAAAATAATTGGCAGCTATATTTTTTAAAAAATATTGTACTTTAGTAGTTGGCTGCAGTGATCTTTAAAAAAAACATTTCCACAGAAATCGTTGCAGGGGCAATAATTCTCCAAAAAAGTCCATTAGAACGTTGCCTATGCAATGATTTTTTAAAAAGAAAAAGAAAAAGAAAAAAGATTTGAAAAAAATCGTTGGTAGGTCCGCGATTTTGACTTGACCCCGTGTAAACAAAATCGTTGTGTCACAATGATTCTGCCCTTTTGGTTAAAAAAAAATTGATGTACCCCTTTGGAATTTTTAATAACTTTTTGACCCTTTAGACTTTCGGCGGTTTTCTAATTATTTATACTTTATGTGTAAATGTAGATGATTTATTTAAATTTACTATTGTTTCCCGTTTTTTCAATTTTAAAAGTTGATAGTTTATCTTTTTTTAAAAAAAAATGAAAATTGACATTTATAAGTGATCAATTTTCTAAGATGACAATTATTTATCCTCAAATAATTTAAGTAAAAAGAAAGGCAAAATGACAACAAAATTGTTATTTTCATAGCTAGTTGGAGGTCATAAAAAATAATTGTCCGACAATTATTTTTCTTAACCCAATTGCATAATAATTCAGGGTATAATTGAAAAAAAGTTTTTTATAAAGTCTTAATCCAAACACGAGATGAGGTGGGAAACAATGAACCATACACTTGGTAAAAATAACTTCTTTATTATGGCATTACTAATATCTGCATTATTAATCTTTACACCAAACGACCCCTAAGTGTATAAAAATGGTGAATAGTGTATTTTCGAGTGTATCCGTCAAAGGAGAAGAAAAGAGAGAAAGGGTGGGGAGTAGCCTGGGGCTTGGGGTGAACAAGAAGAAAGAAGCGAGAAGGGTTGGGGTGAAGCGAGGTGGATTTTTTGTCATCCGTTAAAAGTTTGGCTCACCTATGTCATTATCGTTCAAGAAAAGACTCATTCGTGCCATTATTTTTTAACAATTGTTTTGCAAAATCATTTTTGACACGTGGCCAATTATAATTTGATCACGTCATCAATTTTTTAATTAAAAAATCATAATTCTGAAAAAAAAATTAAATAATTTTTTTAATTTTTTATTTTAAAAATTGATGATGTGGTCGAATTATAATAAGTCACGTGTCAAAAATGATTTTGCAAAACCATTATTAAAAAATAATGGTACGAACGAATTTTTACTTTAACGATAATGACATAAATAAACTAAAATTTTAACTGATGACATAAATAAAAAAGTTTTAAAGGTATATTTGAATTTTTTCCAAAAAAATAATAAAAAATACATGCTTTTTCTTCCGGTGGATTTTCTCTTGTCTCCTTTTTTTTCTCTTTGTCCCTCATTTTCTCTCACTCTCTCTTCATTTTTAAATTAATTATTTTAATGTTTAAGGATATTTTGTGAAGTACAATTTTTTTCCCGAAAATATGAAAATATGAAAGATTTTTTATTTGACATTATTCATAAAAGAAAATATAAGTTACAATTGTAATACATTTGGAATTCAACACATTTTACAATTATAGGCATTTTTAAATGCCATGATAAATGTATAACTAATACAAATGTATTACATGAATTCGTTGTGAATTTCAAGTATAAATTGAAAAATAAAATAAAATTAATGTAAGATAGAAAGGAAAATAGAGATCGGACATCATCGATTTTCATGGAGCTCGCCATAGTCTATAACTACGGATTGAAATTTGGTGATTTTTCGATTGGATTATTGTGTTATTTGTTGTTGTTTGGTCTATTTGATAGTGGTAAAATAATAGTTGGGTTGATTTTTATTGGTTATTTTGTTCAAGAGCACTCTCACTATATATATATATATATATATATATCGAAAAATTTACACTGTACACAGAAAGATAAAGATAACAATAGATAATTTAAGTTAAATTAGGCTATAGTCTGTAATAAAAAAAAAGGCAACTTTCACATATATCAAACAAAAAATTTATATTTGTATGGCTATAGCAAACTTTGCATAATTGGCTCCATAGCAAACATAAAACTGTATAATTTGCTATACATATACAATTGTATAATTCACCTGGCCTAAATTGTATAATTCGCTGGCCTATTTCGTTGCAATTGTATAATTTGTTTTGCATACAGTTGAATCGAATTAAAATGTATGTATATTGCATAATTATAAATGTATAGCAAGAAGATATATGTTTTTCTCGCTTTATACAAAAACAGAAACACAATATATACACTTCTGTTGTATAAAGCTAGAAAAAATTGTATTTCATTGCAATTGTATAATTCGTTGGCCTTTTTCTCTGCAATATTTGAAGTAAAATGTTTGTAAATTGTATAATTAAGTGTATAACACGAAGATATACATTTTTGCATGTGTATATACAATTTTTCTCTCGCTTTATACAAAACAGAAACAAAAGTATACACTTCTGTGTATAAAGCGAGAGAGGCGAGCGAGAATGGAGAGTGGAGAGCGATTTGCTAAATTTGTCTCAGTAATCACATTTACATTTCTTATTGTGTTTATATATGTACTCCTTTAGATTGTTTTTCCCCATAGCTAGTACACATAGAGGAGGATCACGAGTTTTAAATTTTCTCTCTCTTTCTTATCATTGAGTTATCTATCAATTTTGTTAGGAGTTCACAAGTTATTTCTTAATTTTCTAATATAAGTCTACAAAAAAGCTATTAGATTCGTTCGAACTCTGAACCAACAAATCTCCCCTAGCTCCGCACCCTCTTAACAGGATACTTTTTATTGTGACAAAAGTTGGTAGAATTGACGTTTGGTATTTCTATTGATATACTTTCTATATCTATATCTATATATATATAATATTATCTTCATACGAAAATATTATCCTACGTAGAAATATTTTGGTCATGTCGAAATCATTTAGTGGTGTCTTAGTAGTTCACCATCTCTCTGGTAATACTGTTAACATGGGATTTGTTGATCGAGAGCGTTACATATCGAAGTCATAGTACTATTTCATTTATTTTTTTGTCCATCCATCACATTTCGTCTTTATGGTCGTTGCCTGTTGCTGGCCTAGCACCACGCTAATTATCCGTAGTTTCTACGTGAGAGGTTTTCATTCATATCACTAGATTTTATATGAGATTTAACGTAAATTTTATTGGATATTGTGTCTATTGATGTCCACGAATTTATGATTAGGAGAGGTACGCATGATATGGTACGGTATTTAAAATTTTGATATCGTAATTCGGGTATTTGATTTTTAAAACTATTATACCATTATCAAATTAATTTAATTTAGTGTGATTCGATTTCACTATTTTACGGTATGGTAAAAATCGATACCCATTGTTCATTTAGTTTCGGCTAATATATGTACTCCCGTAATAGAGTAGTATGACTTCACAATTCAAGAGTCCGAATCCTAAAAGACAAAAAATATTATCAAAAATTTCAAAGAGGAACATCAATTTCTTTTTTAAACAAAAGGGCAAAATCCCTGACTTATCAGCGATTTTTTTTTTTCACTTTTGCAAGAAAATCGCTGCCCATGCAGAATTTTCATAATTCTTTTGTAGCAATTTTAGAGGGGAATTTCATTTTTACTTTTTTTTGGATAATCGCTGCTAAAGCAGCGATTTTTGTGAAACTCTTTTTGATGCCATGCTAGGCAACTATTTTAGTTAATTAATTATTTTTTTAAAAAAATAATTGACAAAAAATTAAAATAAAAAACAAATCACTTTAAAAAAATAATTGGCAATTTTTTTTAAAAAAAATCACTTTAAAGAAATAATTGGCAGGAAATTAAAAAAAAACAAATCACTCAAAAAAAAGTGCAGAAATCGTTGTCTGACACAGCGATTTTACAAAAAAAAAATGCTAACAGAAATTGCTACCTATATAACGATTTTTAAAAAAAAATATTTTTTTTATAAAAACGCTGTTGTTGCAGCGATTTTAACATTTTTTAAAAAAAATCTTCCAAAAATGTTGCATTGGCAGCGATTTTATTTTTAAAAAAATATGGATTTATTGGTTAGAAAAGAAATTGATATACCCATTTAGAATTTTTGAATTTTTTTTATCCTTTAGGCTTCGGACTCCACAATTCAAAAAAAGGTTTTAGTTGTAGTATATCAACACATCACACATGTAAAAAAATATATATATATACTCACAAGAAAGTAAAAAAAAACTCTTTTTGTTAATCAGTTCCATTTAAAATACCAGATTGCATATTTTTTAGTAGTATTTTAATAATATATGTTATTTGTATAACTATATACTTTGGTATGATATATACCGTATTGAATATCGAAAAATTGATATTCAATATATCATACGAGTGTCATAATATCAAAATCACAGTATCAAAGATTTGAATATAAATAGTAATTTGGAATATACAATACCATGTCTACCCCAACTCTTCACTGCCTTTTTTGGTAAAGGGGTTGTGCCCCGGGGATCTCGCGTTTGTTTACTTGCTTTACATGTATGTGTCTCTCTGAATAAGTCTATGGCAAAAAGTTGAAATTATTGGATTAGTCTAATTTAATCTCTTTGTTTAAGCATTATAGCAAGTTGTTAACCAATATAATGACATTTGCCTAACAAATTGCCAGCCTTTTTTGAACGTCGAGGACCACATGAAGAATAATTTAGGATTTAATATTGGAAAACTCTTATTAATTGCTTTTAACTTCAACTCGAAGTCATTTGTGTTGTTATGAACATAGTGACGATAGTTTAAACTCATAATAATTCATTCAACAACAACAGATATTTTCCTCCCTCTTCATAGCCGTGTGATATCGATTTTTACAAGTGATTTTCGAACGTACATGATAAAATTACAAGCAAATATTACAAAGATGATGAACCAACTGGCAAAAAAGAAACATGTGGTAACAAAAAATAAATAAATAAATAGTGATAATTCTGTTGGAATTGAAGAAAAATGGCAGAGCTCAATTTCACTGTAGGAGGGATAACAAAAGCATGTGAGCCATTCCCTTACAACCCAACATTTTATTATTGTAATTAATGCAGCAAACATGTCTCGTGCACCATATACATTTATTAACTCACAACATCAAAGGACAAGAATTGAGGAGAATTATTAAACAACAAATGTGTAAGAGCTAACAACTATCCAACCCCAATCTGCTGGATCAGTGCCATGAATACTGGATCACCAGCTGGTTACTGAATACTAAACCTCCAGTTTTCTATCGCCAACAGACTAATAGCTGGAAGCAGAGGCAGTAAAGGGAACAAAGTTACCAGATAAATATAGGGTCAAGAGTTTATACGTGTGTCACGCTTGGACGACATAGTCTATACCATTGCGCTTACGTTTGTTGGATCTTGAAAAACAGCATATCTGAGCCCATGATTTCTTTTGCTTAACTGGTTGTGGCTTCGCATCCCTCTTTTCAACAACATCAGCCATATGCTGCACAACAGCCTGATGACCAAAATAAACGTTCACGAAACTAAACCGAACAATTAAACATAATGATAGTATAGTTAAAAAAAAAAACTAAAACTCAAACACACCTGTGCTCCCATCTCGATAACGTTTCCTGGTGGCACTTCAAGAGGATTTCCTTCTGTCTTTAGTACACGCAAACGCGAAAGCATCCTAAATGAATCTGGTAGAATTCGTATCTGGTTGTTACTCATATCCAGCTCCTCAAGCATCTCAAGGTTTCCAATGGATCTAGGGAGTGATTGCAGGTCCGCAAAGTTGTTGCTAATGTTCAGCTTTACGAGTGTAGTGGCAAAGCACAAGCTCTCAGGCACTGACTCAAGCTCATTGAAACTAACATTGAGCTCTTTCAAACTTGTTAAGGATGCCATAGTTGTAGGCAATTGCCTGATGTTATTGTACCTCACGGATAGAATCTCCAAAGAATCCATTCGTCCCAAGGCTTCAGGAAGAGCTTTAAGACGGTTATAGTCAGCACGAAGCTCTTTCAGCGAAGTGCATTGACCAATAGTGTGAGGAAGTTCGTCTAGGTCATTAGTCTCAACGATCAGTTTTTTGAGACTGATAAGGGATCCCACTGCCTCGGGGAGCACAGATAGCATGTTAGAGCTAAGATCAACTTCCTCGAGATGAGTTAACCTCGCTAAAGTCAAAGGCAATGTCTTCAGGTTATTGCCATTTAGATCTAGATAGACCAAGTTAAGCAGATCTCCTATTGAATCAGGAAGTTCAACAATTTTATTTCCATGCAAATCTAGTTTTTGCAACGATGAAAGACCCCCGATGGTAGTTGGCAACACAGCAATTCGATTCTCAGACAAATCCAAAGTCACCAAATTTGATAGCTTCCCAAGTGAATCTGGAATCCATTCTAATTGATCTGACAATTTTCTTCGAAGAATTAGCTCCTTGGTTCCTTTTTTGGCTGAAACTTCTATCAAACTAGCAAGCTTTATCAAGCTCATTTTTTCACCATTTTCACCTACAGATAAATGGCTTCTCCATTAATCGAATAATTATCATATTATAGGCAACAAAATTTATCCAATTAAGCTAACAAAGTACTAAAAAACACATTAATGTTACAGGAAATAGATTAAACTTACCAGTAGTACGCTTCAAAGTGGTATCGACAATCTGGGGCGCAGAAGAAGCATTCTTAGATCGAAGCCCAACACCGATTCCATCCATTTGAAACGCAGTGGTCGGTTTCTTCAAGTAACTGTCGTCTCTTGTAACCAGTTCAGACACTTTAACAGACTCTTTCTCACTATAAAAGCTGGACGAAGAAGACATAGTCGTAGTAGTTGCCGGAGAATTGAAACTACTACCGTTGAAGGAAGATGAATTGGCCAAAGACAAATTACTGGAATTCCTTGAAGAAGCATTATTAGCTTGAGGATTCGATGATAAGCATTTGGAAGCTCTTTGAATCAATTCATCGAACAGGTAATGAACATTTTCGAGATCTAACAATTTTAATGCTTCCCTCTTCTCTTCTTTACTCTGAAAATAAACTAAATTCCTCTGCATCTCTTGCAATATTTTGAATAGCTCTTCTGGTACATCTTTTCTTTTGTTTTGCCGCGCAATTGTCTCTAACTTCATTTTTTCCTCCTTGTCCATATTCATAACTAAAACTTTTGCTGCTTCAACTTCATCTATCCCGGGCCTTATTGGTAGTGATTTGTTAAGCCTCATCATCTCTTCCACAATCTCGTCAACAGACATTGCAGAGGATCCCATTTCACTCTCAATTTCGTCGGAAAAAAGACACAGAAACCACCCACAGTATCCAGATTCGAATACACTGTTTGGGGTTTAGTTTCCAAAACTTAAATAGAACAAAAACAACTTAGCTTTTTCAATCGAAACCTAAAATGTTGAGAAAGTTATAATTGATTTCTCCTTCTTTACAAACTTTCTAGAAGCACCAATCAAATCAAAATAATAGAACAAAACTTTACTTGTTTTTCGTGTTTTATACAGTAAAAAAACGAGTGTTTATGGAAACAGGGGCAGCATATAAAAAAAATAATGAGAAAAAGCAAACCCCACTTAGCATTCAGAAACAGAACTCTGAGTTGCTGACATTTTTTCTTTAACGAGAAACTGAAGCTATAAGAAGAAGAGTTGTGTGAGAGAGAAAACAGAGAGTTTTTGGTTTGATGGAAAATCCAACGATAAATCCATCGAAGGGTAACACATTTTATTTATACAAAAAAAATAATAATCTCCACAGCTGTTGCCTGTTGTTGCTAGAAATGGTAGGTTGATGTATTATTAGCACTTGCCAGTGTGAGGAATGAATTTATCATAACATAATAATTAATAATCATTTTATATATATATATTTTAAAATTATAATCGTAATTCTCAATATTTATGAAAGTTTACTTAATATGAATCTTAATCTTAATAAATTAAAGAGAACATGGTTAAAAATATCTTTAAATTACGTGTAAGGAATAAAAATACTTTTTGTTTATTATTTGGCTAAATAATGTTTTCACCGTTAATATTTTACCTCAAAAATGTACTTGCAGTCAATAATTTGGTCAAGAAATGCCCTATAGTCACAAAATGAGTCAAACATTCCCTTTTCCGAATAAATATATTATTTTTTTCTTTTTAAACACATCTTCTTCTTAATTAAAATATTATTAAGGAACGCTATTTTTGTTTTCTTTCTTCTAAAATTACTTTAACAAATAAAAATATAGAAAAAAATGAGTTTTTTATCCATTAAATAACAATAAGGAATTTTGAATCAAAGTATTGATCGTAAAAATATTTTTGACCAAACTACAAACGGAGGACATTTTTATTCCTTTCGCATAGTTTAAAGGAATTTTTAAACCAAAATATTAATGATAAAGATATTTTTTAGCCAAACTATTAATAGATGTTCTTTTTATTTCTTTCACATAATTTAAAAATATTTTTAATCTTTTATCCTAAGTTAAAAAATGTAATAGCATAAATTGGGATGATAAATTCATAGAAAAAAGAAGCAAACAGTGGACTTAATTATGACTTATCGGTTATTAACGATTGTGTTTTGTTTTTATATTTCGATGATAACGGAAGAAAATTTTTTTTTATTTTTTTATATATTATATCGTATATTGTTATTTTTGTTGCATATTAGTTGCTTATCTAGCTAAAAAAAAATAATTATATATTAGTTGTTATTAATGAAATGTTTTTTTATTTATTCTCACAATTAATTTTTTAAAAAATATTTACATTTATTTATAAAAAAAATTAAAATATTTCGTAAAAGGTGAATTAGTGAAATTATTTTGTTTATTTATGACTTTTTTTTAGATATACGTGTAAAAACAATCAGTTAATATAGGACGGAACAGTATTCTTTTGTTAATTGAAGTTAGATCTTCAGCATTTGCAGTAACAAACTAATAATATACAAAACGTTACTAGTATTTTCAATACCGACAAATATTTGAGTGGTATTTAAGTGAAACAAATATTTTTTTACTCATAAATTTTTAAGTTCAAAAAATAAAATATCGATTAATTTTTATTGTACTTTTTTTATTGTGTAGTAGATATATGTCACGTGTACAAAATAAATATAAGAGGTCAAAAGTTTTACCTTCTACTTTTATGAAGATTTTTTATTTTTTCTTACACTGAGATTTTTTTGAAATTTAAGTTAAAAGTATCTTTAACCTAAATCTTTTTGTTAGTAATTCTTCAAGATTCATTTATTTATTTCAACATTGTATTTGTTTCTCTCTTTTCTTTTCTTTTTTGTGTTTATAAAAATGGATCTTAGGTGTTCATGTGTTCTTATTTGAAGTTTGAATGAAATCAATTTTGAAAATTTGAATATCTCATAATTTTTATTCATGCTTACTTTTTAGAATAACTTAAAATGTTGATCAAAATATAAGTAAAATTGAAAGAGCATTATTATATATAAATATTTTGAGTTTCATATTATTTAGTATAAAAATATTACTCCTTTTTTAAAGAAATAACAAGAAAAATGATCTTGTATATGTGGTGGCATATATTTATCATACCAAGTAATGAAGATTGGAGGGGATTTCTTTTCCCTTTTATTGTATAACAGTAATTTAACCTAACCAAAAAAATATATATATATACTCCTAATAAAGACATGTAATTTTACCCACCATGACAATAAAATCACAAAAGAAAAATTCGAAATTAAAGAAACTGAAGTTATCACTAATTCTAACAGTAAATACTTCTTTTTTAAATTTACACCAAACATTATCCATGCTTATTTAATTATTTTAAATTTTGTATTTGTTCGTAAAGGAGATTATACTTTATACATTGATGAATTACCAAAAAAATTGAAATTATTTGAATCTTAAAATAGTGAGAGTATTTAAATGAGACATGTAGTAATTTGGTCTATTTTTTCTTATTTTTGGAGCAATTATTAAGAAGAAGAATATTTTTTAATATATAATGAGTTGTTTACGGATCGGTTTAGATCGGTTAATGTTTAAAATTAAAATCAAATCAACTTAATTAGCTTTAAAATTATGAAAACCAAACCAAAATATAGTATATATTTATCGATTTGGTTTGGCTATTCAGCTATTAACCATAGACAAAAATAAAAGAAAAATTCATCCAAAACGTGAAAAAAGTAACAACAATCCATTTAAGCGAAAATAGTTAGAATGACAGACATTACAAAACTTTCAATTATTGAATTTATTATTAATAAAGCTTCAAAATTAATTATTTTGGCCTAGAAGAGAAAGAAAGTGATATTTTCAATCTTATAAGGAATTGTGATAGACAAACTCAGATACATATAACCAATAAGATAAATATGCTCAGTTTGGACATTTTTCTTTCACAAGTAAATTATAAATAAATTTTGATGAAAACACATATAAGATCTTTAAAATTGTTTAGAAAAATAATATATTAAGTATGTATAATATAATTTATCATATCAGTTCAGTTGATTCTTTGGGTTTTTCTAATAAAACCATAGTCAACCCATATACCATTGGTTTTTACAAATTTAGAACCAAATTAGACCTAACCCAATAAAAATTGATTTGGTTCAATTTTTCAGTTTGAATCGATTTTTATCCGAATCATGAACACCCTTATTATTGTAAAAATTCATGTAAAAATCTCACGTTTAGGACTAGAGAAATCACGGATTGAATTTACTGTATTGATAGTAGTGATGTATTCATATATTGATATGTTAGATCAATATTGATAATATTGATATGTTAGATCAATATTGATAGTATTAATATGTTGATCATTATTAGTAGTATTAATCGTATTGATAAATTTATTTATTGATGAATAATAATGTTAATATATACTCCTTATATAGGAGAGAATTGTAGTCCTAAGTTAACTATACTTAGAGTCCTACTACAATACATATTACTACTATAATATTAATGTTGCAATTATAAATAATATAAATCCTAATAGTACTATAATTCTAATAGTAATTCTAGTCGTATATAATCCCAATCTAATCCTAGTCAAAATATAATACTAATTAATATGATTAATTTAATCCCAGTGCGGCTTTAATTCTACAACAATGTTGTAACTCGTCAGTCAGCTTCGTTGGACCTGTTTCTTTGACATGTTCCAATTCTCAGCTTCTTTTTTATCAACACTTGCTGCAGAAATGTTAGTCAGCTGCGTTGGACCTATTCCTTTGAATGTTCCAATCGTTAGCTTCCTTTCTTCTTCAACAATTTCCCTCAAGCTAGTGAGTAGAGGAACGGTCACTCCTAGCTTGCTTTGAATATTCAGCCAAAACAAACTTTAAATCCCCAGAAAAAAATTGTTTAGCAATGCTTCGATATAGTGATGTTGTTGTTGTCGAATATTCAGCGAAAAAACTTTGAATACTCAGCAAAAAAATTATTTTGTTAATGCTTCGGTATGATGATGTTGTTGTTTCCTTTTTATTTGCTTTTTTGGGCAAACAATTCCATGTTATGATTTTGTTGAGACACTTTTTCTTTCTCTCCCCTTATATCAAAGTCTGTGAGAGCATTAACAAATTGATTAAGGGTGGGACATGGTGTCTTACCTACGCTTCTAGCAAAATTAATTATTTGTTTTATAGTATTCCCACATCTCCTTGGCAGATGAGTAGCCCACAATTAGTTGTGTGTCTTCTTCTGTCAAGGTGCTTGAGATCTAAGTCCTTAGTAACACATTTTTTTTCTTCCAATCATCAATGGTATCATTAGCTTTTGCATTCTTCTTAGTCGCTACAACTTCCACAGCAGTCTGTCCAGTGGAACAACTACTTTTACTTGGTTCATTGTCTGTGATATGAATCAATTGGGATATGTTTGTCCTCTTTATGAGGTAATTTGCTGGCTTAAGTTTAATGGAGCAAGCGACAATTATTTGGTGAAGTGAGGAGGTTGACATGATTTTTGGTAGAAGGGTCCAATGCAACGTGTGGGGGTTTCTTTTTTTTAAAATCAATACCAGAGAGCAGAAGAACTTTAATCTCTGATACCATGTAGAAATCTCAAGGACTAGAGAAATCAAGGATAGAATTTATTGTATTGATAGTATTGATGTATTGATACTATTGATATGTTGATTAATATTTGTAGTATTGATTATATTGATCAATGGATTTATTGATGAATAATAATGTTAATACACATTTCTTATATACGAGATAACTGTAGAGTGCTAAGTTAACTATATTTAGAGTCCTAGTACAATACATATTACTACAATAATACTAATATTGCAATTATAAATAATATAAATCCTAATTGTACTATAATTCTAATAGTAATCCTACTCGTAATATAATCTTAATCTAAACCTAGTTGAAATATAATACTAATTAATATAATTAATTTAATTCTAATGCGACTCTAATTCAACAACAATGTTGTAACTCATCAGTAAGTTTCGTTGGACCTGTTCCTTCGACATGTTCCAATTCACATCTTCCTTCTTTATCAACACTTGCTGCAGACACGTTAGTCAGCTGTGTTGGACCTGTTCCTTTGACATGTTTCAATTCTCAGCTTCCTTCTTCTTCAACAATTATATATATTGTTAAGAAGTCTCACATCAAAAAAGGGATAAAAAATTAATCTTCTTATATGGATTTGAACAAACTTCCCCTCATGAGTTACCTTTGGGATTGAGTTAAGTTGAAAAATTGAACCGTCACCAACAA